AAAAACAAAAATAAAGATGCGTAAAGATAAAGGCAAAAATTAAGATCAAGGTAAATTTAAACACTTTAATTATATAAGGGCAAATGTGAAGGGAATATGTAGATGAAGAAAATGATAAATGTGCACATGAGTAGCGAAGGTGCCACCCATCGAATGGCAACTTCTTACACGACTTTATTAGAAAAGATTTGAAAACTGCATTATTTCCATAAATATAGAAAATATTGAAAAATTTCTCAAATAGTTTCGTCTTAGATTAGCGTGATTTTTACTAATTGCTGGGAAAGGCCGACGTTTACAGATTTTTAGTATTAAAAAAAAAAATCCCAAGTCGGAAATAATTAAAAACTTAATTATTTCCAATAATTAAAAACTTAATTATTTCCATAAATATCGGAAATGCGGAAAAAAATCATACAGACTTTCGACTTAGTTTAGGGAGATCTCTACAAAAAAATGGAAAATAATTCTTTTCACAGTTTTGTTTTTTTTATTCAAAAAATTTCTAAGTCCAAAAGGTTTAAAAACTTCGTTATTTCGTTAAATAACGAAAATTTGGAAAAAATTCTCAAATAGTTTCGGCCTAGTTCAACGAGACCTTAAAAAAAATTTAAAATGATTTTGTTTTTTTTTATTCCAATACCAATACAAAAGCTTATACTTCTATTTTACACCAAAGCTACACTGTTTCCATGTAAATTTGCAAAGAAGCAACAAGGTGCCACTGCTAAGGGAGCGGTGCGAGAGATACAACTGTCAGTTCATCGAACCTTGTATTATTGAATTATGGTGTCAACCTTGTACGTTTTGTCAAAATGATGTGTTTGTTCTAATTTTTAGTCTGTTCCTTTGAACTTCGGACTAAAACCTGTGGAACTGTCAAACTACAATTTTACGCTCTCAAATGAGAGTAAAAGGAGAACAGATGCAGAAGTGCATAGGAACGCAAAAAGCACTATTTCCTGTAAATACGTCAGACGGTTTGTTTACATGTCATTGGTACTACACTGATTTGGCTGAAATATCTAGTCTGTTCCAATAGCAGTCCGGTTTACAGGATTTAGTCAGAACTTACAGGAAGTCGTTCCTATTGACATAAAACCTGTAAGTGGGAACACATTTGAGAGA